GGATCGACGACGTCCACGAGATCGACGGTATCTACCGCAGCTAGGTGGTTGCTCCCCTCCTCAACTAGCGTTCTAAACTCGTCCGCAGTCGGACAGCGAATCATCGCTCTTTTGCCAGTTAGCATCTCCAATACCACAACTCCAAATCCGTACACGTCCACCTTCCTTGTCAGCTTTCCCCGTTCAAGATATTCAGGAGCCAAGTAGCCCGGCGTACCACAACACCTCAGTTGAGAGACTGTGCTGTCGTCTGATGGAAGCCCCTCCTCCATCTCTTCGGCAAGACCGAAATTTGCTAAGAATGCCTTCAGCCGCGTACCCCCGCCCTCTCCCAGCAATACGTTTAAACTCTTCACATCCCGATGAATAACTGGTGGCTCAACCTCGTAATGTAGGTAACGAAGAGCTTCAGCAATCTGTAGGGCAACGACGACACGCTCCATCAGTGTAAGAGGAGAAGAGAGATGGTTGTCCTCATCTCCTCCTCGTTCTACGGCGTCGATTGACCCTCCTCCTCCCAATTCTTCTCCTTCTATTGACATTTCTAGCGCGTCCCCTCCTCCTCCTCCTCCTCCTCCTGCTCCTCCTCCTCCTCCACCCACTCCCGCTCCTGGTATTCCACTTTCTCGATCTTCAAGTGTAAGATGGAGTCTGTCGTACAAACTCCCACCCGCTGCATAAGGACTGACCAAGATGCGATGATTCTTTTGTCGGCAATAGCCAATCAAGCGACAAAGGTTCACGTGATATACCCGGCCGAGAGTCGTCACCTCTGCGAGGAATTGCTCTTCCTTGTCCACCGTCAGCGGCGCTCGCACGACATTCACACTGACTTGCCTTGGGCTTGAAAGCCTCGAATATTTGCTGAGCAGTACTCCTCGGTAGGTCTGGCCGAAGCTACTCCGCATTCCGACCCTTCGGGATGGGTGGAAATTGTTCGTCGCCTTCGATAAGGTCTTAAAATCAAACTCTTTGACCCCGTGGAGTGTGTGAGGCAGTGCGACCTGATTGCTGCCGGCACATCGTCGAACGGCAGCCACTATCGATGCCATCGCACCCAAAACAAGCGAAGAACCAAGAGGCCGGTGCCCGCTATACCGACGCTCCTGACTCCTGCCCGAATTAAAATAAGAGACGATCAGTGTCCAACATACAAGCCGGCCGAGCAACAACTCAACAACCACTCGTAATGGACAAAATAGAAGAAAAGAGAGAGAGATGGAGAGGAAGGGAGGGAGGGGAAAGGGAGGAAGGGAGGAAGGGGGAGAGTAATGGACACACACACACACACACACACACACACACACACACACACAGTGTCACACACACACAGAGAGAGAGAGAGAGAGAGAGAGAGAGAGAGAGAGAGAGAGAGAGAGAGAGAGAGAGAGAGAGAGAGAGAGGGGGAGGGAAGAAGAAGAAGAAGAAGAAGAAGAAGAAATGAATCCTGAGTGCAAATCGGCTGGAGATCTATTCACAAGTTAGCAACCGAGAAACGAAATTTCCGCAGAGGGTCCTACTCCTGAAAGGCGAACAGGCGAAAACCCCTACATAGGCCGCGCTGATTAGGTCCGCGCCCTTTTGTACGCGGACCCCCGTCGCTCGTACCCATTGAATGCCCATACATAAGTCAAGTCTAACGAGAAATGGAAGAAAGAAAACCCCTACATTGGCGTGCCTGGAACGAGGGTATCCGTGCGGCTTGCCGCTGGAATTTTGGCGAACAGGGGTTTTCTTTCTTCCATTTCTAGTTGGAATCGACTTATGTGTGGGCAAGGATTCTGCTTCTGTCCTCCGGAACATCCATGAAAATTGGAACGATCCGTGCCCTTTGTTTCCTGCGGTTTATGGGTCACAAAAGACAAAAATCATGGCCGCGCATCTTTCCATGTTTTAACGGAAGATTCACTCTCGTTTTGCACATTTCCAGAGTAGTGCACCGAGGCCCACAGCCTCGACTTATGGGCAAGGATTACCCTCGCCCGAAAAACCTTGCCTTTTCAAAAACAAAACTTGCCTTTTCAAAAAAAAAAAAAAAAAAGAAACCTTGCCGTCCACTGATCTTCTCCGTGTCGTGCCCTTTCTTTCCTTCCGTTTTAAATTTGGCGAAACGGTGACGGTTTCAGTTTGAAAAATTTTAATGCGTTTCTCAGCCACGATTTCGTTAAATTTTTGCCAGCGCGAGGAAAATCGTGAATGTATACCACCCAGGGTTTCAGTTTGAAAATTTTAATGCGTTTCAGTCACGATTTCGACAATGTTGTGCCAATTTGCCAAAGAGCGGGGCTAGGTCCCACTTACACGAATTAAGAGATATTGACCGTAGATAGCACAGATCAACGGTCAGAATCTCGTAATCCGTGCAAGTGGGACCTTGCCCCGGACTGTTTTCTAACTAAGGGTCTGGCTCCACTGCACTACGACTCGCAAAATGTTTGCGAAAACTTGTAAAACCTCCGCGGCGAGTCCCCGGCGATGGARCCTTAGTATTCATTTCCCTCCCAACGGGGCAGAAAGTGCAGCAGGCCCCAAATTGACTTTTGCTGTCTTTTTGGCACCCTGTGAAACGCTTTGGCACCATTTTTGCAAAGGGGGGGGTAATCGGCCCAGCCAGGGTGCAAAAATGACAAGAAAAGTCATTGTGGGGCAAAATGACAAGAAAAGTCATTGTGGGGCCTGCCGCACTTTCTGCCCCGTTGGGAGGGAAATGAATACAAAGGTTTCATCGCGGGGAGGTTCAATAACTTTTCCCGAAAATATCCTTGAGGCCATGACTTTCCCCGAAAAAATTCTAGAGTCCTTCTTCAGGTATTAGAGGCTCATGACTTTCCCCGAAAAAATTCTAGAGTCCTTCTTTCAGGTATTACAGGCTCTGAATTCTCTCTCCAGCACTCTAGATGGAGGGATTCCGAGGGAACTCAAGGACCCAAGAAAATGAAAGCCCTTTTTTTCTTCTTTTTTCCCTGGAAAACCCTCTTGCAAGGCGTCTATCCCGGCATTGGTAAGAGAACCACCAGGATTGAGGCTTTGGGCGTTGGGCTGCTCCATCTATTGGTGGGGAAGGGCACCTGCTGGAAACCGGGTCCAGTGTCCCTCGGATACATCAATCGAGTACACAGTGTCAGGGCTGTGGCCAAAGCTGTTTCTACTGTTAGAGCACCCTCAATGGAAGCCTTTTTCTTGAGTGTAGTAGAGCACTAAATGACAGACTAAGCGCCGGAGGGTATTTTGACAGCCGCAGTGGGAACGAGCTCACGGAAAACGAGGCTGGAACGGCGGTACGAAGGTCCTCCCTAGAAACCCGGTCGGTCGCAGGCTGGGCACTCAGGAAAAGTATAGAGCTCTACTCTAGAGCAGCTTCTGACAGCTCAAGACAGGAATTTTGTAGAGTCTCTTTCTCGAGAAATGGAGCCGTGTAGAACTCTACACTTTTCGCGAGTCTAGTGTAGTGGAGAGGCACCCTTTGTATACCAGGTTTTCATTGTTCCACTGAGTCTGCGAACCGAGTCCTGAAATTCTCTTGTATAGCTGTCAGACATCAGAAATTCTCTCGTATACATGTCAGACATCCCGTCGGAAAAGCAATCTCAACCGTTGTATAGTTCCCAGCCTGCAAAATCCGTTCGTTGTAGCTAGCTCTGTCGAACTCACGATTTGGCTTGGAATTTATAAGAGTCGGGCTCTAGTCTGGACAAGTCCTTGGATAGTCGGAGTTGTCGGAGGGACAATGTGTTTTCCGGACTTGTAGAACTACGGCATACATGCATACTACCAAAACAGCAAAATTTGTCGCGTTTGCCACTCCGAGTTTGCCATTTTGCTTGTGTTGCACAGCAGCAGCCACGTCAGCGACAGCGCATGGCAGCTGCCACGTCAGCATGCCAAGAAGACAGGTGCAAGCCAGCCACCATGCTGGACCAGCAGTGCGTCGCCGTAGACACAATGCCAGCACAGAGCCAGCGCTCAACCAGCTTCGCAGCGTCGAGCCAGAGTCGTCGTCAACCCGTGAAGACAGCATTGACGTAAGACAGAATGAATGTCAAAGCCAGGAAAGTCAGCGCTTATGTAGCATTGACCCGGGGTCTGGGCCCCGGATGCTACCACCCTCAGCCGTCCAGATTTTGATGCAAACTAAGGCCCAGATTGGTCTGAAACCGAATTCCCTCCGGCCTGGATGCTTGTCTGGGTACCTGCGCACAACAAGTGAGTGTATCCAACCAAAGGCCTGGGTGTGGTACCTTTGACTCTACAGTTGACTTTGACCCTTGAATTTCCTGTGTGCAGCCTTCGGTCACACAGCCAAACGTGACAGACTCAGGCCTGGGCCTGTCTTGGTCACACAGCCCAGCGCAGACCAACTCAGGTCTGCGTTTCCTGGGGCTGAGTTCCTGGCCCCAGGCTACTTCTGAACAGGGTTACTGCACTAGTGAGTCTAGTGGTGCTATAAGATGATGATGATGATGATAATGATAACTCAGATAAATAGTGATTGGAGAGAACTACGAGCTAAAAATCAACAACACTCAGCTTTTTAAAACATGAGCAATTCCCAGCCTCCCCTGTATCAGGTGCAACATGCTGGAGACAATCATCCGAAACCAACAATACCCATTTCTGTCCTGTTCTCACTGCTAAGACCATACCCGGCCCCTTAGGTTGTCCAGATAGCCCTCCCAATTCGCCAAAGGATTGTCTTCCTTCCTTGACAAATCCCCAGATCTCTCTACCAGGCCTCACGCTCGTGCTACAAACAGGTGGCAGGCAGCAAAATTTGCCATATTTTTGTAGTCACAATTTGCTGTACGCCCATCAAATTCGCAAATGGTGTGGCAAATGTCAGTGGCTGAAAGGGCCGTGGGGTTGAGCAATTTGCGACAACCTCTAGAGGTGGTGGCATTCCCCCCCCCAAAATCAGTGAGCTCGCAGAAGAGAATAGCAGACATTGGCAGGGCCTCGGGGCATTGTCTTTTCCGATTTGCTACCCCTATGTGACTGTGTACTACTGGTGCCTGATGTGAGTGCTGCCACGTATACTACTGGTTGCCGAGGCGAAGCTATGTGACTTGTGTTGCTGTTCTAATTATCGTCATTCAGGAGGAGATCAGGACTGTGGACAGTGTGAAGAGATCGTGGATACTTACCTGGTTGTCTTCATGACGACATTGTTCCAGCATTGGTGAGGGACTGATAGGTTACTTCAGATAGTCGTTCAGATTATTGATTATTGAGGTCGTGATTGCGGAGGGAGCCGAAGCAGTGGACATTGTTTCTATCTTCCCCACTCTAAGTCCTTTCTCCCTCTCATCTACCTCGTCTGTGTATGTCTTCTCTTCTCTTGGGTATCTCGACACGAACATGATTATTAATAATCATCAGCTGGTTGACACTCATCTGGACTTGCATTGTTGACAATTGTCTTCACGATCTGGGTTCATTGCAATTTGGTACCGGAGCAGTTTTCCTGACGACGATGACAATCACACGTGCGCACGCGCCAGGTGGCGCGCAGGTAAGTGGCCATGCACACGTGTGCTGAGGTAGTGATGACTTGACAAAAAGTTACCGCCGGAGTTGCTGACATGGTAGAGACATCACTGGCGAAAGAAGATCCTAACGTGCCTGCTGACGTGGCATTCTCACGCTGCATTAGCAGCTTATGCGCAACCAGGCCCGTTACAGAAGCTAACGTGGCCTTTGGGAAAATCCGGACTGATTGCTGACGTGGCAGGGGAGAAGTCATCACACCTCTCTTCTTGAGGTGTTGATTTCCTGCTGACGTGGCATCGGTCTCCATTGGCTGACGTGGCATTGTCCGATTGGCTGGAACGGCGACGGTATCACGATACGACGCGTGGAAGTGACACTTGGAAAGGACGGAGCACATATTTGCTGACGTAGCATCCTTTTATTGATTGACTGGACACTAGTGCTGACGTGGCA